AGAAGTTCTCTTTATTGTTAGAGAACTGGCACTATTATCGTTGAAATGATGCGAGTGGGAAAGAGAGATAATGAGAGCGCGTGAAAGAGCAAATCACCCTATCAACGTCACATGTGCCGCCGCCCCGGCTGATAAATCATCGTTTCGCTGCGTACGAAAAATGGAATTTTTACTTTATGTCGATTATTTTATGTTGAAATTTTTTACTACTGCTACTGCTGTTGTTGTTGTTGCTGCTGCTGCTGCTGTTGCTGTAATGATTATTAGGAATTACTAGGAAGATCTTGTCAAACCGATAAAAACGTTCTCATCGACGTAAAGTAAAAGTTCAACAGCTATCGGAGCGATGAATAATCATTGGGTAGTACGTTGTCGTGGTCGCGTTCTAACGAAACATTACTGTATCGTGTTTGATTAAAGATTACCGTGTTAGTTAAATAAATATTGTGTTAGTTTTCTCAAAAATCTGTATGCGTAACTGCGTGAACAGGAAGTATATATACACACTTATATTTTCCCTATATTATTGAACAGAAAAATATTTAAAAAAATATATAATATGTTTAACATGTACACATTTTGGAAATTGAAATATCCGATCGTGGAACGACGACACGTTGTATCATTAAGAATGACGATGACAATAGTAATAATAATAATAGTAACAATTGTATTCGAATCGAGGAGGGATACATTATATACATATGTATATACACACATACATACGTACATGCCACATATTCATTAATCGTACAACTTCACTTTCCTCGTATATCTATATGTATATGCACGTCTATAATTTGTTAAAAATTTCCAAATCAGGAGCAAATTTGAGTGCGTAATAGTTAGTTTCCAATATCACCGATTATGGAACAAAGATACAATAAAATACAATTTCGTAACGTTATCAAATTCAATTCAAGTGTTTTTACATATGAAACCTAGTAGCTTGACAGGGTACGTGATTAATAATCAAGCGAAGAATAAAACCGTTTCTTTTTATCCTTTCCATTCCTTTTCTATGTCTCTTTTTTAGTCACTAATTACTGTGTTTTACGTAGTGAAAAATCGTACATATCTGAATGCGCAGTATAAAGTAATTTATGCAAAGTAATTTATAGAATTCATTAATATCGTGTACTCTTTCGAACATTTCACACATATAACTACTACATTCATACATGTGTTCGGATTGCATTGTTAATGAATTAATAAATATAATCGTATAATGTGCGCACCAAATGTGTACCAAACGTACCGAGAAATAGACACGAGAGATTGGATTAAAACTAAATTATAGATCCCGCTTCGGTGGCGGTACCAAGTGATCCGGTAATTCTGCAGGCAGGTCATAACCTTCGAGTTTTACGTTAATTAAATGCATCGCTAAGGCAAATTCATCGGAATCCAGAAATCCATCCCCGTCGATATCAGACAATTTCCAAATTTTCCCAAGTACATTGTTCGGTAATTTAGACTTTAACATTTCCGATTTAGCCGCTGTAAATATCATGTCAAACGAAATATCATTAACAATAGTATCTTATATGAAATAGTAAAGGAGTGAATGTATAATACTACCGTAAATGTATAATATTTCCGTACATTCATATGCATTCATCAAGTTTCGGATAATTAACATTTTATTTGAAAGAAAAACAAGGATAACGGATAAAATATAAGAAAAAAATTGATTTAGGTTGTAATAAGAACTTACCTGCTCCCGAGATTTTTCCATCACACGGACAGAGTGTCTCGAAAATCGGATCGTATTTGTACCTCTCCCTACTAACAATCCATTCTTTCTCACCTGCACCAGCATCGATACCTTCCCCTCGTTTATATCCGAATGGGCTCACTTGATCCTGTACGCCTTCGAATGCACCACCTATAGTACAAAGTATATATCGTTATTATTATTATTATTATTTTAACATATAGAAATGTCACATTTTCCACGAATCTTATCAACATATTCATTTTCTTTCTTTTCTTCCGTTCTATCTACTAATACTAATACTAATATGTAAAATAAAGAGGCGTAAAGCGAATGTTTCGTCTCAATTATCGAGCATACAAATTGCTATATCTTTATGTACCATGACATGATGTAATCATACGAATTGACGAAGCGGATAATAAATAGAGCATGAATGTTTGCATTCATACATTTTTTCCGATATATATATATATATATTACGTATATTTCATAGAAATGTTCATATAATATTAAGCAGAACATATAAATAGAGAGAGAGAGAGAGAGATACCTTTGACGAGCGAGTCTAACGTTGTATTTACTTCTTCGTGCGGTATCATAGCCATAAGTTTTGCGATATCTTTAACAAGCATATTATCCACTACCTCCAACAGTTTGGGTTTTAAAGTGTGGAATTTATAAAAATCATAGTGTACTAAGGATTCCTGCATCTTTTTTAGGTCTGGAAAGTCGCCCGGTGAAATGTGTTGTTCCCTTTGTATTTCATCGTAAATTTGGCCCAAATTTTTGATAAGTTCTTTCTTCTTAAAGTCTTTACCGAATACTGCAGGCATATCCTTTCTTAAAGCACTGATTATGTAAGCGTGTACCTATAAAACGATATATAGGTATTTGAATTTTATCGTGTGTTTAAACAGACCGTAATCGATACCTATCTATTGGCGTAATGGAATGATAAACTGATTTTTCTATTTACTTACCGTTGCTAATCGTGCACGTTTAATCAAGTCATTCAGCTTTCTGAGAGCCGCGTTTCTCGGCAATGATTGCATATCTTTAAACAAGTCTTGTTCCTCATCTTCAAACAATCTAAAAGAAGAAAAGAAAGAAAGAAAGAAAGAAAGAAAGAAAGAAAGAAAGAAAGAAAGAAAGAAAGAAAGAAAGAGAAAGAAAGAGAAAGAAAGATGAAAAAGATAAGAAATGTGCTGTGACGTTATGTACGATATTTGTTCATTTTCAATGAAGTAATTTAGTGGTTTATACAATACGTAGAATTATATTTTTAGGGATAGGAAAAAATGTTTATTTTAGCGATATAAAAGTATGGTAAAATAAAGGTACAACTTGCCTTTTATTTACAATGTATCTTAAAGGTTGGTCCCAAAACGACCCGATATATACTCTAGCTACTTCGGGAGTTTGTAAAACTTTTCCTAAGGACCACATCAGTGCTCCGTATACTCGCATCAGTTGTTGATGATCAATCATATCAGCTTTATTCAGAACTATTCTAATTTTATCATCATGACCACGTAGTGCTTCGATCAATCTTCTGAATTCATCGGAAATGTCGAGCTTATGCGCGTCGAACAATAGTATGATTCTGTCTACTCGTTCGGCGAACCATTCCATAACTCCTGTAAAATCATAGCCTCTATCGACCTATTACAAGAGAAAATGATTTCTGATGCTGATTGTACAACTCTCTGGTTGTGTTGTGATACATCGGTAAATGTTTATAAATGTACATACCCTTTGTTTCTCACCTGACAAAATGCCAGGTGTATCCACTATGGATATTCCTTTGAGAACAGGAGACGCAAGTGTAGAGCATTGAAATCTGTTTAGGAAGGCGTTGCCAAATTTTGAAAGTGGACGAAATTGCTTATTTGGGTCGACGACTAAAGCATTTCCAGGGATTACACCCTCTTTCTCATCGTACATAACAGCAATGAAGCGGTCTGTCGTTGGTTCAGGACCGATTCTTATACCAGGAAAGTCTCGTTCTAGCAAATACTTGATGAAAGTAGTTTTGCCGGTAGAATATTGACCCACCAAAAGAATCATAGGTTTAGCATCAAAATCTGGATCGTCGAGTTGAGGTGAATGAAAATCATGAAATTGATAATACTGCTCGAGAGGCAGTAGTTTAGATTTGTATATTTTCTTAAGGCCATCGGCAACACTTTCGAAGAGCTCTGGTTTACCACTTTCCACCCGGTTTAACCAACTGAACATTTCGTGTTATAATCAAGGAATGGTCCTGAGAACACAACAATATATAGATACATGTATATGTACATAAAACAATGATTTCTCATATTTGTTTGCTTTTAAGTAAAATCATAATTCTTGGTTGAAATTTAACTGTAGTTGGCAGATTTAATGGAATAATTCGAAGAGCCTAGGATATCGTACGTTGAATAATGTTTAACTGCGCTGTCAGTAAAATTGCAACCGAGACCACTTTTCTTATTTTTCCTTTGTAATAATAAGCGTAATAATGTACAGATTTATGTAAAATAAATCGTTGTACGTATCGCACGGTTCACATATCGAGGATTCACAATTGGCAACGATACACACACAACGATCACGAAGAATGATGATGAAAATTTGATATATCGGTAGATGAAATCAGCATGAAAGAAATCTAACCTCTTGCTCTGATTCGAGTAAAACCACAAGTAGAATGATAGACAGGATCAAACACTATCATACGGCACGATTGAGGGCGCGTACAATTTGTACTGGTATACTGGAACGTCAACTGGGATATTATTCATCAGCACACTATGCGTTGAAAAAACTGATTAACAACTTGTTTCTATTCTTGAGCCACACTTTACAACGATAAACGAAAATGGTTATTGGAAAAATCTATTATAATCGGTTGGTTGATCAATTCGGGATGATCGTTCGGTATCACGCGAGTGTGCCTTCGAAACGCACAACGATTATAAGAACAGAACAACTAACCGATCGTGTACCGTGTGACAACTCAACAGACCACGTCGCGAAGAAGCCTATATCGAAACGACTGCGCATCCCACTGTACCTCCTTCCATTTCCTAGCATACTATCCCTCTCTCCTCCCTTCTTCCGTCCTTTACGTACTCTTACTATTCTTTTCTGTCTTTATTTCTATACTTAAGTAAGTAAGTAAGTACACGTCGCTTGTCACATTATTGGTAGATACTAAGTACTTACTTATATTGTGTATATACTATACCTTTGTTCATTTCGGTTTTCTTAGATAGGTGTGTATCAACGATGCGTTATTTCTTAAACAGGAAGAAAAGTCGTACAAATATTTTCCACGATTAATACAATTTATCGATTAAACGTATTTAACGAAATGTACGAATATATTACTCGAAAGAAGTTGAACAAGAGGAATTGTCCTTTCGGAATTACGAATGATACAAAAGGCAAACATGATTACCTTCGATTATATGAAAAATTCGATGGATAATATCGAAATGTTTGTAACGAAACGTAACGCGTAACGCGATTTGGAAGAAAATATTTGAAATGCGTGTTAGTTAAAAGTTAGGACGTGTAAACCCTGATAAGTGGCTTGATCTGATTAAATGTGTCATTACATAGTGTCATCATTTTCGAAGTTTTGCCCTTGTACAAAGGTAAGCGATGATCCTGTTGCGCCAAGTGATTCGTGTATCTGTAAGTAGAGATATGAATGTCGCCTGTGTACCAAGAGTTACGCACGCGTTTAGCTTTATCTGAAAAGGAGCGTAATGTGTTAGTGGAAGTTGATCATGTTCCATCCACATGCATGCATGCATACATAAAGTACATACATACATACATACGCATACATAGATGCATATCTACTTAGGAAGATAAAGTAAAAGAAGGAAAAGAAAAAAAGAAGTAACGAGAGAGATAAAGTGAATGAGAAAGAAGGAAAATTGAGGAGACATTCGAATTTTACCGGCAGTATCATCCCCAGTAAATACTTGATAAAAAATGTTATACATGTATTTATGTTCATATGTAGATGGTTTTTCGTTCCGTTCCGTTCCGTTCCGACGAGCATATTCATTAGGGAATGCAATAACATACGCGTATACATATACCTATTTAACTAGAATAGGGATGTTAATGGAAAATTAATTTGCACGTGTATAGTTTTTTTTAGATGTAATTTAGATATAATGTGGGATGAATGGAACGGGAGAGTATGGAAAAGAGAGAAAGAAGGTGTGCACAGGATGCGAGTTTGGTTATAAGATGGTATAGGTACGTGTCTCGGAGAATGAACAATCATTCTCGTATTGCGTAACGAGACATGCAAAACATTCAGTGTCATTTGTTGCGTAAGCAACGCGGACACATCCTGGTTAAACGATTTTGTGCCAATTTAGTAATCTTAACCAGCTTCGCTCGAATTAGAATTGATTCGTATGATACGGTGTACTACATGACTACGCGAGCTACTGCGGATACGCACGAGAATCGCGATGTTTCTGCTACTTTTTCTCTCGACAGACTGCGTTCGAGACTGAAAGAGTTGAAAGAGTGATTTTGATTAAGAAGAATGATCGGGAAAAGAATTGGAAAAGTTGCTTAAAAACATGATTTATTAGTTTGGCCGCTTTATATTTTATTCTCAATTTAGTTGAGCCGGATAGGACAACAAGGGTCGATTTTAAATGTAAATGTGTAAAAAGCGTATAGGAGAGGTCTGTAAAAGAGAATCATCAGAGTAGACATTCGACGTCCCAGTTATCGGGAAGTACGTTTTTCCATAGCTTGATCAAAGTCTCAAGTAGACAAGGCGCGTTACAGTTTGGTATCTTCATGCGATACGGTGCAACATTTATTGCTCCTGTATCATTCAAATACATTAACTGGAAAGAAAGAAAGAAAAAGAAGAAAGCGCAGAGAAAGGGGGAGGAGGAGAATGGAAGGAAATTAGGAAGAAGGAAGATTAATAGTATGTTGAAAGGTAAATGATTGGTTTCCACATCGCTAAATGATACCTTTACTTCTGTATCTTCCATAGGATTTGGTGCAATATGCAGTTCGAAAACAAGTGTCGCGCCATATTCAGGTTTAAAATATTCATTTGTGAAACCCATAGTTCTCAATAAATTAACAAGAGTTAGATCATGGGCGGAATAAAAGTATGCTCGTCTCATATCTTGACCAGTTTTAAAAGCATGCATACGTCCCAAGATTTCTTTGAGTAACGGCCCTAAAAAAAGAAATAGAAGTAACATTTTAGAAGACCGATCGATCGAAATCTCTGGGATTTTGCCGTAGGTAGGTAAATAAATAAAGTAGGTAGATAAATCGCACCTCCGCGAAGTCGCTGCTGTAACGTATTGCTAGTAAATATGGCCAAACTTCGGGCCGCGATTTCACGCATTTGTGAATTATAATATTCATTTGTCCATTCGGGTAACTTGAAACCCTTGCGTTGTTCAATTTCCAAAGTATTGTACAGAAATTCAACATCTGTGATCGTTGTGATATTTTCTCCAGTATGATGGGAAAGTTGTTGATAATATCTCCCCGACGGGGTTCCAAGACGCACGGATTCGTTCGCGTACGCTTCTTTTAGAGCTTGCTCTAGTCGTGGGCAGGGGGCCTTGACTACGATCGTCTGGAAATTGATGTCGATCGGTTTTATCGATCTTTCTCTCTCTCTCTCTCTCTCTCGTTATTTTTCATACACGCGCTGTATCAAACAACAAATTTCAGTGGATGAAAGAAAGAAAGAAAGTTACATACTACTTATGCATGTATAGTTTAGCTGTCGGTACGTATATAAATACATATATGTATACCTTATCGAAATTTCTAGGCGTGGAATGAACTGGAACAGGCCGCCAAGGCAAATCTGGCACAAAGATTTCCTCGGCGGTTGGTCGATACAAAGCAGCGAGCAAAGCTTGCGCAGACATTATACACCGATCCGCGTAACTACTTTGCGTGAACGACAGGTCGTTTTCGTACTTGGTGCCAATTATCGAACCATATTTATGACGAATCCATTGGCCGATGTGGTACATTTGTAGCATGCCCTCCTGCGTATAACATGGAACGATTCTACGATTACATTCGTAATTTCTATTTGGAGTGTAATTTGTTTTATCGTAAAATTATGATGTATCGACGAGCATGCACGAAGAGCGTTCGATCGTTCGATTTTATAACCTTGGTCAAAGCTCCCCAGCCGTTTTGCCATTTGTAATACCGATACGGGTCGTTTGGGTAAGTTGTCGTAGGCGTCCGATCTCCGTGTCGAAAAACCTGTTGAATCGTTATAACATTTGCATATAACGAATGAGGAGAAGCAAGAAGGGTGGATTAGGTATGTATTTATACATAACGTTAGAATGTACTTACGAATATCACTTGTTGAATGGTGGTTTGATCGTGATCTGTGCTGTTGGTGAATGCAAATGCAGTGTAGGCAAATAGTATAATACCGACACTGATACCAAGCATCAAGACCGTTATGCGAATACCCGTGTCACTTTGCCAGCATTTCCGACGCGATCTCTGCTCGTTTTTCCCATTCATTCTCTTTATATGTATTTACGTATATACGTATGTTGGTTTTGATCGCGTCGCGTATGTACAAGCAGCTGCAGCAGCCACGTATATACTGAGCATCGATCTTTACCGAATCTCTAAAACCAACATAAACGCAGAGCGGTGATGGTCCTATGTGAAATGGCGTACGATGCGTAGGATGACGAATGGCGTACGATCTATATGAAACGCGATTCGCTATCGTACGCATCATACGCCATTTCACATACGACCATCGCTGCTTTGCGTTTGCATTAGTTGTAGGGATTCGGCAAAGATCGATATATTTAGTAAGTACATCGGTATACATAGAGATTATCATTTATTTATCTTATCTCACTGGACGGTGGCTACCATCTTCGCTCTGCAAAGTCCAACCGATCGGCAAATACACCAGTCCTCCTTCGATTTACGCGGCACTTTTTAAAAACGATCTTGGTTTTACGCGACCAGAAGAATTTCCGAAAAGTATCATGAAAAAACAGAGAGTAGATACAGTAGAGAGTAGATAAAACAGAAGTGGGTAATATTTCAAGTGACGGGGATAGCCAGTTGGAGATAATTAAAGAGAATAGGTTGCCTTGGACTGCAGTACCGACAGTACCGACAGTACCGACAGTACCGACAACGAATACAATTGTATTTTAGTTTTTCTGAACTTTCGTTATTTCTTCTCTTGTGAAATCTTGTTTGTATGTAAAGTAAGTAGTTTTCTAACTTATACTGGCTTTTCGTTAAAGTATTTTTTTTTTTTTAAAACCACACGGAACGTATATGTACCCCGAGTAAATCGAGGGACCAGTGTAAATAGTTTCAACAGGCGTGACAACAGGCGAAAGAAGGGTTTAACGATTAGCGAACAACTATTCGATGAAAATGATATGACGCACGCGATGACGGTAAGTTTCGAGATGACGGAAAGTAGTGGATGGCACACGTGGAAGGAGCGCGAGCGTGTCGATACAAGAAACATCGGTACATTTTCGTAATGGATATCGTATGTGACGCGAGAGCGCGCTCGTGAACAAGTATGGTGGGAAAAAGGAAGCGAAGGAGTCTCGATTCTATTTATCAATACATACTAATAATATCATTAAAATAGCCTTGTTTTTAATTTCGTCCGATGATTTTATCCGATATTAGGTGGTACTATATTAGACGGACGATTGGGTATTTGCGCGAACGAACGTACTTATGTACATACATTAGAGTAAGAGGAAAAGGAAAGACCGATTGGCGTGTGTCAGTAAATGAAAGTACTTGATTAGGTAAGGTTTATTTGCAATTATTCACAGATGCTATACACATGTATTTCTGTCTAAGTATATGGTAAGATGTAGTAGAGAGCAGCAAGTATAATTTATTACTGTTCTGGTCAGGTATTGGTTAGTTGGTGAATCGCAAGAGGAGGAGAAGAAAGTAAGGGAAGAAAAATAAGAGAACGTGTAGATTGCACGTGTGTGTATTTTTTTTTTTTTTTGAAGCTAGAAGCTATTTGGAAAATACGCAATGGCTATAGATGTAAGTGAGGTTAGAAGTAAGAAATTCGGGTGTATAATTTTGTGAGTGAGCGAGAAGACTAGAGTAGAATGATACGGTATTTAACGAAAGAATAGAAAGAGGAGGGTAGGATGGTGAATAAATAAGTAAAGTAAAGATTTCTGAGGTTAAAGTTGAAGAAGAGAATGGATCGGTCGACAAGTGAAGGGGTGCGTTTTAATTTGAGGTTTGCTCGGAACGACGTCGTCGACCAGGTCCGCCGGCGTAATTCGCTGCTGCCAATCCCATCAAATGTTTGGCCGCCTGCGAACCGCTAAACCCGCGGCTCAAACCCAGGTCCAATCCTCGTTTGTTGCTGGAAAATAACGGACGAGTCGTAAGGCCGATCGTTGAAACAGATTTGCACGGTGAAATTCTCTCTTACTTCTCAACCTCTGGATTACGCATTATGGTGTGACCGAGTCGAGCTATGATTTCCATCAGTGCTTCCGGATCTTCTTCGTCGAACTGGTTCCAATAACCTTGTTGGCTGTGACAGGCGAAGAAGAATTGTTTGGTAGAAAAGCATTTTCGAATCGCTGGTCTCGGTTACGCTACAGACAGGCGCGATTCGCCAATAAAACGAGCAGACGTAACAATACCGCTCTCCTTAGTTTTAAATGGACGGCCGAAGAACCGTTTTCTCTCATTAAACGACGGCTCGTCAACTGACTCGGAACTGGGTTAAACTTTCCGACGCTGCCAGATGCGTCTTCGTGTTCACTTTATACATACGAGTATAGTATTGTACGTAGAGTATCAATAGATGTATAGAAAATGGTGTATGGTAGAGAATATACGCATCCAGCTGACAACGATCGTTTGGGAAAGGTGAAGAAAGGGGATAAATGAGAAACTTACGGCGCGGCATTGGTCGGAAGATTGGACGATACGAAAAGGCCGAGGACCATCAGGAGCATGCAGAACGACACGAGACCTTGTTGCATCTTGGAGAACGTTTCTCTTGCGTGACGAAGAGAGTGGCTGTGTCTGAGGAAAAGGAAAGATTTCGTTAGAGACTATTAGGGCGTTGAAAATGAATCGGAAGGCGAGAGGGAGGGTGAGATGGTGGGCGCGCGCTGAATTCAACGGTTAGAGCGACCAGAGCGACCAGAGCGACTAGAGCGACTAACAAACTATTCAAGGCGCACAATGTAGGAAGGAAAGGCCGATCGCGGCCAAGTTTTCGAGCAAGTCCGTGTACATAGATATTGCGAGGTTGCGGTTCATACTTACACAGGTGTAGACCACAGGATAGATAGACGGATAGATAAGAAAGAAAGAAAGAAAGAAAGAAGGAGGTTGGACGACTCGAGTAAATTTCATTTTCACCGAAGGGAACGTCTCCAAGTTTATGGCACGCCTCAGATTATAGCGACGCTCTCCAATTCCTCTTCGTATCGATGTTCGTTCAATTAGTATTTTATTGGAAGGCAATCACGAGTCGCTTTGAGCGTGCCGAATGGCCGTAACACGGGATAATTGGATTCAGCGTTTCCGATAATTGATGTTGACGATAGATTTTCACGCGTGTACTTGGATTCGTTAAGAACAATTCGATGTACCGGGAGAAGCGTGGGGTGGTGGGTGCACGGCTGTTGAAGTTTCGAACGTGCGGATTGTTTGTGCGGTTACGAAAAACTTGTTCTTCAGGTGAACTACATAAATAGGTTCATGGTTCGATCAGACGCGTTAAAGCGTATTGCAGATTTTACGGAGGGAACGATTCGCGCCTTTACTACTTTCCCTCACTCCCTTCCGTTTACCACGCCTCTAAACTTTTATTCTATCTAGCTGATCTATTTATTTATACGGCTTTCGGGAAGATTACATAGTTCGTAACGCGTTTCCAGATTAATCCTCGTCCTTTCGAAGCAAGCACGGATCGCGGCGATGCGATATTACTAATCATGGAGAGAAGGAGGAGCAAGCAACCCTGCTACAGTCACTTCCTTCTCTCCCTAAGTATCTATGCAAAGAGGCGCAAAGAGGCGCAAAGAGGCGCAAAGAGGCGCGTTCGATCGGGCATGAAAATCCAAGCACTAGCAGCGGGAACAGCTGCGCGTCATTCTACTTCTATCTAACGGTGATTTTACAAGCGGACGTATAATAAAGTACGTACGTGCCGATTCGAAGATTGACCAGAAAATAGATCGGTCGCGGATTCCGGTCCAGTATCTCTAAGGGAAGGCTGGTTGGGTGATGTCGAGTGAAAACGAGGCAACTCGTTTAATTGTTGCGTGGCGAAACAGATGGAACGGACGTGTCGAGAATTATTTTCGTTGGAGCGTACCGGACCGGAGAATACATATAATCTAAATGTGTCGCATAGGTTTTCGGTGTAGCGGCTAGGGTGAAGAGGATCGCTAGCGGTTCCACTTACTTGTTAGATCGGCCGGCTTCGAGACGACGCGACGGAGGTTGATAAAACGAAACGGGGGGCTGTTTCGACTGCTTGTTGTCCGTTCGACGAGGGAAAACGGTGATCTGCGAATACGAATGTTCCGTTGCCGGTTTATATAAGCCCGCGAGTTTACGGTGCTCGTTTCATCCCCATCTCCATCCCCACCCCGTAATACCCCTAAACATTCTCGACCAATCAAACGGATCCGTGTTCTACCCCATCCGAGCTTCCTACCATCATCCCCCTGTATCGTTCCGGTAACCACCAACGA